ACTTTTTATTACCCTACCGACAGCAGCTCCTACTGCATTCTGTCATGCTCATCGGCAGGGATCCGCTTTTTAAACTAGAATTGCTGTTTACGTTTTCAAACGACACACATAGCTTTCACCCCATATACCAAGCTGATCCGTAGCACGACCTCACTACTGATGTCGCGGCTGCGGTGGCTACATCGTCAATATGGTTTTATGACGCCTTTTCGTCTTTCAGTTTCACTGCACATATTTCACGTCACGTCATGGTTTTAATATTTCTATGTTTTACCCGCGTTAGCGCGAGGAGTTTTAAGGCCCCCATACAGCCACATAGCATATCATTGTTCATATCTTTTGCCTACTGAAATGGTTCTCTTTAGCTATCAATTGGCCCTTGTGTCATCAAGCACCACACATAATAATGGTGACCGAATAAGAGCACCAGATGGACAAAATTTCCGGAGCTCTTCACTACAGCATTCCTTATAATCATATCTTGGTTTTTTAAATGCGAAGCATTTCTTAGCGAACTTCGGCGACTTTGACCGTCACCCCCTTAACTTGGCGTGAACCAAAATTAGCATAGGAGGGTAAAGTGCTGTGAAGAATACGAGGTGCTGGTCAAGACATCAATAATGTCAAAATCCCGTCGCGTACGTCGTCAAACACTTCCTGCCAGACAGTGGCATATACCCATGGGCGGGTATGGGACGCTGGTATGCAGGTATGTGCCACAAGTGATTGACACTTAGTATCTACCCAGGAAGGACGAGAACACACATGGGCAGTTTTTATGCACGAGTCTTAAGAAACACCTGACATCGGTAGGGTCGACCCGACGAATGCAAAGAATAAATGTCAGGGTCCTAGCTGGAATCGAACCCAAGCATTCTACGTGGCAATGAAGTATTTTACCACAGAGCTAAGCCAGGTTTCGGGACTTTTCAAGTAAACGCTAATCTTCGTCAAACGTCAATAGGGGTCTCAGTACCGCCTACACAATTTTATAAACATTACACATGTACTCCTTTGATACAGCTATCATGTCAGGTTAACGTCGATTGTGGTTAGTTACTATGCGCTGAAGTTGATTTATGTAGCACTGTCCAGGGCCAGCATCTTCGCGAGTATCAGCGCTTGATATCAGCTGCTGGTGTTGGTAAAACGCATGTTCTATTTGGCATCATTGTGCAAGTGCAAACAACTGGCTATATAAACATCTGCAACTCTTCAACATATGTCTGTGTGTGCCCATATATTTAGCATCGTTTCATAATGTGTCTCCCAATAAGATAATTGCAACACACGGTCACCTTCCCTTTGCATGCTTCGCATCGCGTCGATTCCCAGGTACGTGGGATCTGTCAAATTATTAATATTATCATTGTTATTATTATTATTATTACTATTATTATTATTATTGTTGTTGTTGTTGTTGTTGTTGTTTACGGGACTCTCAGCGTATTGTCTCCAAGACATTTACTTCATCACAATCAACCATGGGCGCTTCTGATTTGCAGATGTCAGGCTGAAGAGCATTGTATTTGTGTTCACGTGTCACTTTTGGCTAGTGGTTATTATGAATTAGTTTGTTTTTATTTTCATTTGTGTTGTGAAATTTCTTACAAATTTTTGATTTAGACTTACTTTGATGCCTTAATAGTTGAGATTTTAACTGATTACACTAGGTGGAGTACAAAATTATTGTGTAACACACATATGGTGTTGCAGAATTTACAACAGTATTTCGGTGGTAAGAGTTCTACTGATACAAATTTAAGTCTGATATGAACTAGTGAAATTTCTTGGCCAAATTTCGTAATGTCCCACAGGCCGAATTCGAATGTTCCGAACACTTTTTCAGTGTTGTGACAGGTGATACAAACTTGGGTTACAATTGTTGACTGTTGAGCGACAGCCAGCTAATCAAGCGTGTTCCAAAAGCACATGCATGCAGCCACGGTCAGAATTGTGTTTATAGTTTGCTGTATCCACTGTTAATGAAGCTGCTCTCACTACCGATGCAATCATGTATGGTGTTGATGAAACTTCTAAAGTGCACGTATATCCAACGGCCATTGCGTCAAAACGATGCTGCATGCTGCAACTACTGTGGACAAAACCGCAGTAGATGCGATTATAGGTGGTTGCAACAAGGGATGCATGTGGTCAGAGTACACGGATAGAAACGGAACTATCATTTGGTGTAGCTGCTGGGCACGAAACTGCACTTGCTATCGATGTAATCATCAATAGTGATTACGCAGCTCCATAGGTATGCGGCTTACACAGCGGTAGATTAAAGGAAACAGTCATAAAAAGGCATTAAGCATTTTGGAGTTCCTGTCATTCGCTTATGATCATGGTGGAGCGACTTCGGTACTTGGTTTTTATTTGCCTTAAGCAATGTTTTAACATGCACATTCACAGCAACCAGCTACGCCGTCCCTTTTTAATTCGTCGATGCATGTCCGAGAGAAAGATACAAAAGTTCTTTTTATGGCAATGAAGGTTCTGTGTACATTATCGTTTAAAGAGATTTTGCTAGATTTTTTTGGGTTTCTTCACTCTCCTTTAAAAATTATATCGTTGCAATTCTACTGTGTTTGGCTGATTACTGGAGTGAATGATATCTTGAAAAGGGATGCTGATATTGATAAGTCGTAATTAAAGTTTTAAGAAACTTGAAAGCAAAGCAGTTAAGTGGCTGTGGTCTTGATGTGAACGCAGACTGTATATCTATGTTTGGCCTTCGCTTATCTTGTTTTCTCCGGATAGGCCTTGTAGCTGCCACGTTTTCAGAATCACACACGCAGTACCATGCAAGTTTGTGACACTCTCGGAATGAACAGTGGCGGGACACACAGTGGTGTATCTAGCCAAACTTGAGTGTCTAACTTAAAGAGGCCCTGCAAAACTTTTTCAAAGAAGCATTGTGTGACCTCGCTACTGATGTTCATTGCCTCACAGATCGATTGCTGCAAAAGGTTTTTGAATCTTTCAAATATGAGAGGAGTTACAGAAACGTGTTGCACACTATAAACACTTTCTGTCTTGTTCCAACAAGTGCGCTGGAAGCTACACAAAGGAAGATGACAGAGGGGAGAGAAGCTATACCAGTACGCATAACAAGCGTGAGATTTGATGCTCTCGCAACCATAAAATTAATGAGTTTCCTCTACTTCTTTGATGTAGTTGGGCTGATCAGAGATGTAGTTTGTTAAGAGAAGAGTGAGCGATTTCTAGCTGATTTTAAAACATAATTATAATCAGGTCACATGCTTTACTGTAATATTTGGCTCGCATACACAGGAGACCCGATTAACGATTGGCAGCGTTTCGTGAACATGTTCAAAAAGTGTTGCAGGGCACCATTAAGGTGATGCCACAGCCCCCTCCTCCTCTACTCCCAACCTTAAATGGGTGTATGAAAGTGTGAACAAATGAATGCCTTCTCTTGTGTCATATGTTGCTGTCACTAATAAAGTGGGCCAAGAAATCTCATTGCTTTGAGAGCACAAGATGGAAGTGTCTTTTTAGTGATAAAGGTCGCAACTTGGCCAAGCCATATAGCAGGGAGTGGAAGGAAGCAGCTTGCACCAAGCTAAGGCTCCTGTAGACTGTTTTCTGCCGCTGGTTTGCACAGTTGAAATCTGATGGTGTGGCTGGCATTCAGCTTTTCAGTCCCTGAAACGTTGTCCTTGGTATTGCTGCTCACTATGTTTCCATCTGCGCCGCGTCATTTGCTTGGTGTCCCCATAATGTCTGCTTGCACTGTTTGGGCAAGTAAAAGCGAGCAGACAGCACTGCCAGAAAAAGTCAACATGGCAGTACCCACAGATGCGCGTTATTTTTGCTTCAAATATATCGCCTGATCATCGTGCACTATGTGGCCCGTAAGTTAGAAACCTATGCTTGTATTTTATTTATGTTTGTGTCCTGAAGTATCGAAAGCGATGTATTCACTGTTATTTTACAGTGTTTCGAAGATCTACTCTCAAATCCTCTGAGACAAGGCTTACCAAATGTGGCTAAATAAACACAGCTGATGTTGATAGTAAGGACAAAGCATACTTCGTCCTCAGTGTGAGATGGCACAAAGCAATACCTGAATTCACCATTTATTGTTGTCATCATAGTCAGCAAATAGCAAGTCAAGTTCGGATCAAAGCGGGTGATCATCACGTTTGCATGGGTGGTGCCATTTTGGCTTATTATCACAGGTACCGGCAACTTCTAATACAAAAAATAAAGGCATGCACCACCATATTTGCTCAGTAGAATAAATACGTCACATAATGCTGTGACGTACATGCTAAACAAATACCAGTGTCTCTGCCTTGTCAACATACAGATGATAAAATATCAAACTATTTTTGCTGTGCAAGCATGCGACTTGCTTAAACTCTGCTGCAACCAGCTTGTGTGGTACGACCACTTCATTTACCAAAGGCCATTTGCAATCGCGTGATCAAACATGGCCGCACCTGCGTGCCGCTGTGGAAAATATCTTATTGCTTTCTGCCCCCTTAAGCTTAAATAAGGCATGGGTGAAATTTTCTCCTCTCTTGTAGAGGAGGAAAGCTTGAAAATGCTTAGTTATTTTGTAGTTTGTGTAAAATGTTTCACCACTTTGGCTGATAAGTTTTTTGGAGCTTTACAGCACTGTAAAAATGCATTTTGAATATAGTATATATCCTGAAATTTCAAGGCCTTTGAATAATACAAGTGTCGTTCTAATTGAATCAAATATCGAACAGTTTAAGTGGACTATATTGATGTTACATTTTATGTACAAGTTCATTGTGTCAGAGCAGAGTTACATTGAGCTTAAGTTGGCATCATCATGCTGTAGCAGAATTGATCATTGTTACAGGAATTGATGCGCGAGATGTATGGATAGGCTCACTAAAGATGTTTACTCTATCTCATTGCATCAAACACAATTGTAACACATGAAACTTCTTTAAGAACCTGAATTTACCTGTGATCTTTTTTTAACTTTTTGTTCGCAGGCTAATTTTGAGGCGTCGCCCAGGGCTAAAATGCTTTCGCTACTTGGCTATGACCCTGATGATGTGACAAACCAGGTACATTTCTTTGTTTTCTGAGCCATGCTTACAATATTGAAGTTATCTATGAACTGGCAATATAAAGCTCAAGCAATATTCTAATATTTGCAGCTCAGTTTAGTGTACACCACCACTTTTATTTTTTTGGATACTCCTGAATTGTTTTAAAGTAAATGTTACAATTTTATGTCTAGGTGGTGTTAGCCGCCGCCCGATCTAAAGGGTATAGTCATGTCAATCCATGTATCCATCCATCCATATAAGTGTGATTTTGTGTCATTTAAACAATGTATATTTTCATGGTCACGCGGATACTGTTCATTTTAAGTGAAAGTTCGTCTTTAGTGGGCCCGTTATATGTGGGCTCGACTGTATTTGTGCTCACCTACATCTCATAGGAGTCTTATAAATCGATTTTGTGCCAAAAATAATGGTACGAGAAACTTTTCCGATGAGTGCTAAAATAGGTATTGATTCCGAACATGTCAGCTTTAAAAAGTAGATTTTTTTTCGGGATATTCGGCCTTCTAAGACCCATGTAACTTACGGTTGATCAAATAACTATATCAAAGTAGCCACACCATACATGGCAACTCCTGCAATATATTGGAAACTGTTACAGATAGCAGAATATTTTTTGCAAGATGAAGCTACAGTCGAACTTCGTTACAACGAACGCCACTTCAACGAAATTTCCGCAACAACGAAAAATTCAGGGTTCCCCGTTAGCAGTTCATAGGAGTCGATGTATATTGTCACCAGAACGAACACTTTTTATTCTGCCGTCCCGCTTCAATGAAACTTCAAGATGCAATTCCAGGCTTAGATATTTATTGCTATGCAGTAAACACAGTCTTTAACATTTTGATGCATTTTCAGAACTTGAAAATAGGTCGACGAAGTCTAAAACACACGTTGGCACCACCGTTAAGCACCACTGTTCATCAAGCATGGGCGCCGCCATCGCTCTATAGTGATGGCAATGAGACTGCCCTGCTTTTGCCACTGGCTTGCTTTTGAGCCGCAGACGATCTGAAGCTGAAGCTCAGTCGCTCAGTTCATGATTTTGTTTCGCGCAGCTGTGCGCAACAATGCCTTTTTCGATGCCAGTGCGTATAATTTTGTTCGTGCTTGGCCATTGTGGTAAATAATCAGAGCAGCTGTTCGTCCACACTATCAACAAAATCAACTATCTGCGAGTGATGGATGATAAGAATAGCATAGAATAAGGCAAAAGTCACCACTCCACGATACCCTGCCTCCATCTCGGCATTGTCGAATACACTTTGACGGCGGACAGCTGCTAGTGTTAACATGTTAATGCAGATGTTTGGTTCGTTCACGAAAGTGGTTGTAGGCCTTGCTTCAGTGTGCTTTTCACCATGGCCTCGGTATGCATGGGTGAGAATCGCGTCACGACGTTGCTGCTATATTTTTTCGACTTCACTTCAATGAAAATTTTTCTGCGCCCCGTCAGTTTCGTTGTAGCGAAATTCGACTGTATATGTTTGTAGCACACAACATAGGAAGCATGTTTTAACTTTTCTTGATGCAAGTTTTTAAAGTTAGTCTTTTGTGTGACCACTCCATGGCTACATTCAGAAGTGTGGCAGCTTGGGCTAGTTGGTATGGCATGACGATAGTTATAGCGCAAGAACAAAATGACAACACAGACAAGGAGGACACGAAGGACATGAGCGCTCATGTCCTTCGTGTCCTTCTTGTCTCTGTGTCGTCGTTTTGTTCTCGTGCTATAACTATCTACATTCAGAGCTATAAAATTTAGTGTACTGTTAAGTAAGAAATAATGACCCACTTCAAAAATTGCTTCTTAGGTTGTGTGGCTTGGGCTTTCTACTGCTGATCCCTATGTCATCTGTATATTTTTGACAGGTGGTTGTTTTTCTGTTGTAGGAACAATAGAGATTACCCTAATTATATAATGAACAAATGAAGCTATAGAAACAATAACTACATCTTTAAAATCAGGAGAACAAACTGAGTAAACATGCCAACTTTTGTCACATTTGGTTCAAAAATAGATGAAATAACTCTCAGACCCATGTCCCCCCTTAATTTACGCGAAGTCCTTGATAGGGGGCCACCGTGATCAAAAATAAACATTGTTGTTTCTTAATCACTGCCTGTCTAATTTTGCCTTGTCTAAAGCAAATCATCAAGGGCAAATCATTTGTAGTGAAGTCGGCATGTGGCCACAACTTGCATATGCCCCTCATCTGTCATGTACACAGAAGTATTATGAACTTTAAAGTTCACATGTTGGTAGGTATATTAATTTGAGAATGCACATTCACTAAAGGTCCACTCCACATCAAATAATATGAGAACAAGTCAGTCACTTTTATTTCTGGCCTAAGACAGTACTCACACACAAACAAAATAAACAAAAATTTTGCAAAAATAGATTGCTTGGCAGGGTGGTTATTTACTAATGGTCTAAAGTTACTTTAGATATATGAAGTTGCTACAATTGATGTTGTTACAGTATCAGTAATTAAATCAATATCTCGGGGTGGTATTGAATTCAGCATATCAGAAATTATAAGTTCGGCATAATAGGAAGGTTTTTAGGGCGTTCTCAATCTTGCACATAGTGTCTGCAAAGTGGCATGTAGCATCTGAGGATTTGGCTGGCAGGAAAATCCACAAAACATTGCCAAACTGCCTGTTGTTTCATATCTAACTTCAGCCACACTTCATTCACTTATTCGATGTTGACATGAATCTCTTATCTCAACTTAATTTATAAGTAACAAACAAGTTTGTTTTAATTGCTGGAAAATGCTATCATAGCCTTACAAATGGTCACTCCAATCCTGTCAAATGTTCATATCATTTACTTCCTCTTGAAGGTCTGTCCTAGTCAACTTACACCTTTCATGTCTAACTGCTAATCCATCTCTTCAGGTTGACAGAGTGCTTGATGTGATATTGACATTTTCTCTTAACTTTCGCTAGTTGGCTCTAGCTTGCCTCGAATTGGAGGACATTGATGACCAGGACTTCTGCAATGACGTTGGCAGCTTGTCACCCAATGCAACTGTAAGATGCACTCTCCTACTCGTGTCTTGCTTTGCAGTTAGCTGTGGTTTATTGCCTCCTGCAGTGCCTTTTGCGTTAACCACAGCGATGCTGGCCACTTCGCTAAATTTGCACCACTGTCTCTTTGCACAACCTCTGCTTGCAAATGCATTCTTACTGAGCTACCTTTTTGAATGATCTCTGCCGAGTAAACTCGATTGCTATTATATTATTAAGAATATTAGGGGTGTAGGAATATATTAATAGCTTTTGAGTGGACTAAGCAAATACATTTATAACAATCAAATTCAATTTGAAAATAATACCGTACTTAGAAGATTTATATTCTTAAAACATGATATGAACGTTCACAACAAACTGAAGCAATTGCTGGTAGTGTGCGACCGCATGCAATTATTTTGCATTTGCTTGTATCTAAACAGCAAATGAGAGCACGGTATTGTAATTTCAGTACTCCTATAATCAACCAAACATTATTTTGTATTCAAGTTCAATAAAACTAAAAATATAATTGTGAAAAGTGTCCCGATCCTCCCGGCTCTCCTCTATGCTGTTCATAACAACAGGGGTGGAAGTGCTGCATCATTTCCGCCATTTTGCGCCAATTCGACCTGTTGCTCCAAGCTGCACCTAAACGGCGATTTGCATGTGCTGTGCCAAATTTAGTAGAGTTTTATCATCGGCTGAGCAACGCGTGTGTGCTATACTAAGGACGCAACCGCGTGCATATAAAATTAGTTCGGTCACGTCTATTGGTTCTGTTTCACTCTCACGCCGTATTTTGGTTCATGCATGAATCTTGTTAAGGTGACGTTTTTGTGCATACCTCATTATGCGACTCTATGTATGTTTGAACAGCAAAGCTGTTAGCCGAATCATATAAACTTTTGGCTAAATCACATAAACTATAATCGTATATAATTCTTTTGGATAAGACATTGTGACACTGTACAAAATGCTGGTGTAAGAGAAAAAGGACGGCCACTCTAGGGAGAAATGCTCTTATCGCACAGTCTCTTCCCGTTGAGAGCTCGCCATGTAGAAGGGTTTACTAGCCGCGTGCTGATACTTGCCAATAGCGCGCGCGCCAGCTTATTGCAACCACGCTTTAGAATCAAAGTTCACCGCTGCTGCTCAAGCACTTCTCCCCCCCCCCCCCCGGGTCTTTTTTATGCTCGTTCAAGAAGGGCGGCGTGTTTTATCTCTGCTTTAGCATTCGACGGCAGGTGTAACATGCGACGTACGACGCCCTTCGAGCGAGCGACGCAGATCAGCTACTTTGTTTAATCTCTGCTTGAGCAGCGCATACCACCCCAGCTTGCGGAATCTTACGCGCGGGTAAAACGTGCGATGCGCGGGGAATGTCACCAACTTGTAGTTTACGCAAAACATGGTGGCGATGGCGAAAATCCATCGAGTGTCGAGTGCCCGGACGCAGAAAATCCGAAATAGCAGGTGGCGTGTGCGGTCCGCAAACGCTGGTTTCGAAACTATGGTGCTGCTGCGATCGTGCGTTGTGGTTTGCAGGAGGGCAAATGCTTTTCTATAACTCATATGGCACCAGCTATGCCCGCAATGCCCGCAGCGCCTGCAAACGTTATTCGAAAACTCCCTAATGGTGCGGCGAGCCCATCTAAATTTCTTCACGATTCTCATGTCGGCTGTAGCACTTTAATGACCAGAACATATCTTTTACACTCATTTTTATGGAGCCCTATTGGTTTAGTATGAAGATAGCTTTTATTAGTTCATCTCTAGTCTAATTGACTTGCTGTTCATGTTAAGATGCGGTGTTTCATTCACATCTGGAACATTGCCACATCTTAACATCAATTTTTTTTTTCATTCGTCTGAGGTCTGTTAGCTGTCCATAGTGCCGCTTATGTTTTTTCTTTGAGTTGCTGTGCTTTCAGCTTTGATGTTGTAAAATTTAATATATTTATCAATTTGGGGTAAGTCTGGTCACTTGATCAGCATTGAATGCTCAGTAAAAACCACTGAAATTTCTTGGTTTTATGAGAAAGCAGAAATTCTAATTAACAGTGATGTTCGACCTGAGAAATCTGCCCCAAAACTAAATTTTGATGCTCCAAAGTATATCTTTTGGTGCTCCAGAGCTGCTTCAAAAATCCCCTCTTACTGCTCCAAATCTGTTCCAAAACCGTAATATTCCTGCTCCCAAAGCTGCTACAAAAGACTGAAGCCCGCTTCCACCCCTGTAACAATAACTGACGTCTTCTCCTTGTTGGCTACTGGTGTGGCCACTATCTGCTGTGATACTGTCTTCTAGGCAGTATTAGTGTGCCATATTTTTTAAAGTTTTCATATAAACTGGCTTGTGTTTTTTTTTAATGCTCTAATCTAAGCTGACCATAGAGTTTGATACAGGGGTATATTTAAAGAACTATCAACCTAGATTCGAGTAAATATGTGAGTTACTTAAGCCATGCATTCGCCAAATGTTTAAGGAAAAAAAAAACTGGGAAGGAAACTTTCATCAAAGTGCCAACCACACAAGTTGCTGGAGTATAATTCCTGTTGCCCAGCATAGCTTGCAAGGTCATCTGATGAATGCAGTTTTTACATTGTGCAATGAAAAACCGGATTTTCTTCATGCTTGTTGCATGGCTGTTTTGTGCTTATGTTTTCATCTTTTTTCGTTTCGCTTATCCAGCTTGCAGGGTTGTAACTCTTGGTGGTGTTGCCTTACTTTGTCCTGTTTTTCTTCTTCATGTTTGTTCGTCTATGTCGTTCTTCCCTTTGCATGGTCTTGTGTTGTGGCTAGAGTGAGGAGGATGACTCAGAGCTGTATAGTCCTCCCTCCTCAGACTTCAGTGTAAGTTGCCATGCCCCCTGGCTTTGCATATTTTTACCATCTTGCATGCTTTGCTTATGTTTGTGGGAGAATGGATATAATGAGATAACAGCTTGGACTGACAGTATTTCTTGTTTTCTTGCCAGCAAGTTGCTCTGCATTTTGCTTGATAGATGTGATTTCGCCACCAGACTTGCTGCAGAACTTAACAAAAACATTGTGCATCAAAACATTATATTAAGGTCTCTGGATTTTGTTTTTACTACTCTTTGCAGCTATTTGCTGCAATAAGTTCTCTGTTTTTCACTGGGATTTCTAGCTCTTGTGGGTTCTTGTTACATTTGTTAGGAAAACTAGACCAGCGAACGTTGTTTGATTTTTTCGCCTTCGCGTTACATGATGGCACATGTCTCGCCTCGCGGACTGCTTCTCGTAACAGCAGTCGCAAAGCTTACGGACTTGCGCTTTGGTATATGATATTCATGTATTGATGCTGTAGATTCTGGCAAGTTTCCTGGAGTGGAATGGAGCGGTAGAAATTCTGTTAAAAAAAAAAAAGGCAAGGCATATGCACATGTTTGTCTTAGCCCCAACCAATAAATGTGCTGCATTAAAAAAGAAGCAGCAGTGGGAAGTTTCTCACTGGAGAGACAGATAAACATTGAGTGCGAGACCACTTGAGTAATGATAATAATGAAACATCCGCGAACTTGCAAAAAAAATGTACAACATGGTTTTCGCATGTTGTTTTCATAGCTCAGTGTTATCCTACCTAGCTGTGAGAGAGACACGCCCGGTAGAAGGTAAATCTTTGCCCCCTACAAGGCTGGTTCAAGCAAAATGTGGCAGTGTGCTGTCTATAGCTCCGTGCAAAGAGCAGCCTTTGCAGTCACATGTGTACGTGCGTGTAACAAATTAAATATAGAGAAAAATATAATTGTAAAGAACGGCACTGCTCTTTGCTTTGTGTGAGTTAACAGGAGGCCCTGCAATATCAAGGTGTTTGTGTAATACACTTTGCGCATCGTATAGACGGAGTCATGTGGGATTGACAACAGTTCGCGGGAAAGCTTCACAATTTCCACTTTATAATTGACAGTTCCATCTGAATATTGGTCGAATTAGTGTTCGAGACTCTTCGTCACGTGCTCGCGTGTCATTGTGCTCACGACAGTATATATATATATATATATATATATATATATATATATATATATATCTATAAGGTGCGTGGTGATTGGAAGCAACTGGTGGCATCCCTAGGAGAAGGAAATGCAAAAGGAAATGATTTCTCTCATTTTCTGTCTGCTTTATTTTTTGAGAGGGAAGTTTCTTAGGCCCGCACTCTGTCGTTGCTATCGCGTCACCGCTCACATTCCTCTCTTACGTGTCTACCTCTTTCTTTGTCTCTGCCCTTTCCCCTCATACCAGCAAATGCACGAAACGATCGCTTTACCCTGTTGTCCTCCTGGTGGTTGGGCCGTTGCTTGGGCTAGCTCGCACTGCACTGCGTGTGGCGCACACTCACTCGCTCAGTCATTCTCACCATTAAGTGTAGGAGATGCTCTCCCCATCCTACCCTCTTTATGAAAGCAAGCAGCGAGATGAGGTGCATAGTCATTCTGGTCCCATTTATAGGGAGCTTCATTCATTGGTTGTATTCATATATTCGTACATGGAACTGCTGGTTTTTAACTTTGACGACTAATTTCTTCAGGTGAGGCATGCAAACTTTTTTTAAAAATTAGCGTTTTTTACACTGTTGATTAATACACACACTCCAGAAGGAAGTTGAAATGTGAAATATATGAAGATACATTAACTACAGAAGGAAGTACAGTAGATTCGAAATAATTCACTCTGATAACTCATACTTTTGGGTAATCCTCATAAAATACGATTTTTTGGTTGGCCCTTTATACTTTTAATGTATTTAAATGTATTAAATGTATTCACACTCATCATCTGGTTAATTCATACTTTTTGCAGTTTCATGCCAGAAAATATCTGCTGCTTTCCCAGTACTATTTAAAAATTTGCAGGCTTATAAAATCCTAACAGTCCAAAAATGACAAATAAGCACCTAAGGTCCATTGAAGAAAAAGGCTTTGCTAGTAAAGATACGTTTTAAATGCAGCACACGCACGGTAAAACATGATGCTTCTGAACTGGTATAGAGAGGTTTGTGCTGAAGGCACATTCGCAAAAAAGCAGTTGGTGATTCACGATTTCTTTCAAAGGTCTGATCAGATGCAAATGGCCAAAAACGTGTGGACATTACACCTCTGCTTTCTGTTAATTGGGTGCAGTTAGAGTCCAAAACCCTTTAAAAATTTTAAATGTGATGAAATCACTGCCTAATGTGTGGTGTCACCTATCCCAGATTTTGATGTCTGAAAAGTTTGTATCATTCAGACTTATTTATAATTCAAATAAATTTCAGAGGTCCCTTTGAGTTAGAATTAACAAGAGTAGACTTCAGTATAAAAAAATCTTCCAGGTCACTTTTACCTGTGGATTGTTTGCACAGAAATTGTAGTAATAGCACTAAAGGCATATTTTAGGAGTAATGATGTAATTTATAGGTTCTAATGATATAGAAAAACCTGCATGTGTGTTACTAAAATTTAGTGGCACTCGTCAAGACTTGATAAGTGTGTATAATTTGATATTTCGGAGTTTGCAGTATGTGTCTCTAATGGCACATTGGGGAGGGCCATATCAGAGAACTTGGCCAGTTTAGTTTGGCAAAAGCTGTGTAAGACAGCAACTATAAGTAGGCTACAAAGATGACAGTGAGACCCCATAATCGTTGTGAGGTCCAACTATTCGCGTAATACCATTTTGAAGCTGTAGTAACTTTTACAGTGTGTGTGCGTGTGTGCGTGCATGCATGCGCATGCACATGTGTGTGTGTGTGTGTGTGTGTGTGTGTGTGAGAGAGAGAGAGAGAGAGAGAGAGAGATATCCCGGATGTATAAAACTCGGATATATCGCATTATTGGTTATATCAAGCCGTTGAAAAATCCCCTTGAATTTCCCTTGCTAAAGTATGGGACCAGTGCACCTGTATATCAAATGCTACTCCGCGCCGAAGCCCAGAAACGGCATTTTTCCTAGCAAATATAGATCAATTTTTGGTCACGTTGTAATAAGTTCCGATTCCTTTGTGTGCGTAGTGTACAAAAAGGCAGTATTATTCTATCGTGCTGATCTGGTTTTATTCCATCGTGCTGATCTGACCAAATTCCAGACATGTCTGGAATTTGATGGTGTGCAAGAAGCAAGACAAGTTTACGGACTATTTTCATGTAAAATAAGGTGCGGTAACTTGTAGTTCACACCTTTTTCATGTAAAATAAGGTGCGGTAACTTGTAGTTCATACCTTTTTCATTATACTGTGAGTGAATTGTTATGTTAAAGCTTGTAACGATTTGAGGCCTGAATTGCTTTAATTTAGGTCTTAAATACGCATATTTTCTATTTCGAATTATCGATACATCGAACTATTTTGTGATCCTCTTCGAGTTCGATATATCTGTGTGGGGGGGGGGGGGGGGAGTTGATTTATGCACGTTTTATGCATGTTGGTCTGCTGTTTTGAAGGCAGTATCTGTAAGATTGATCGTGCTTTCATTTTCTAGAATGATGACCTTGTTGAAGATAGCAGCAGTGCTTTTGACGGCATTGCTGCAAATCAAAAGGAAAACGAGTGCTCGCCTTTCACTATTCCTACAAGTTCAGGTGAGAACTAGTTTTATATCTGACGTCATAGATGACTTCGTATGTTGCTCTTTTCTGCTGTGTAAAGTCGGTTGTTTTGAAAAGGACTACTGTGCTTTGGGGAGATCGCAATATAATATAGCAATGTACAAGCCTCTTAGTGTTTCTGAATGGCACCACACTTGCCATCAAGCTTCTGATATCTAGTGGTGCATCATTGAAGCCATGTCAACTTTGTCATTGCCAGAAACGACACTTCTCTGCTTTGAGATCATTTTCTGACGCAAGCTCACTGTTCCTAGATTGAATTCATAAACAATCTCATTCTGATGTAATTCAACCCTTTTGCTACTGCTAACTGGAGTACAAATTCAATTTATTGTCTCCCTTCGTAGCCGCGAAAAAACTTTGTTTTATATTGAAATTTTGGATTAATGTGCTCTGTTAAATTTTGGTTAAAAACAACTCCTGTGCTGTGGACATGCTGTTATAGAAGATGACCATCGTTATGGTAGTAATGATTTTATTGCAGTTTTTTTACATTCGAGTTGGAAGGGAGAACTAAAAAAAATTGCTGATTTAATAAAAAGTGAAGCTGTAAAAGAATTACAGCTGGCATTGATTGACGGAACACTTTATCTTGAATTGCTTGTGCTGCCTCACTTGCACACTGCTGATTGTTTGCCATTCCAGCTACAGAAATTCGCTTTCTATGGTAGCTGTGGCAGAGTATCATTGATGGTAGTTTCTCAGTTTGCTTCATCTTACTGACGTGAGTAGTAAAGCAGCAGGATGCATTGATATGTTGGCAGAAGTGCGTGCTTGCTACTGAGAAAAGCGCCAGCCTCTTCTACAACAACCATTGCTGAGCGAGTGGAACACTCCTTGTTTCATGCCCTTAGCATAGTCACTGCATGTGGCTGTTTGTTGCAACCACTCTACTTTCAGTGTTTCAGTTTACAGTTATAGGCTTTGGCTAGTCAACCATACTAAACGTTGTTGCATGTTCTCATGTGTTTTTAGGTGATGCTGACAGCCTGCTGACGAAGGCATTACTGACAGGAAACATTGATGCGGCCGTGAACTTGTGCTGGCAAGAGGGCCGCTGGGCTGATGCCCTCATTTTGGCACAGGCTGGTGGTTTGGAACTCATGCAGAAAACACAATATCGCTACTTCAAGCAGGCTACTTCAGATTCAGCAAAGGCACGCTTTGTTTCTTTCAGTAGTCAGAATTAAGGACTTCTGCTCAGGTACATCATTAAAGTTTATACAGTCATATCCTGCTACAACTAAATTGACAGGATGTGTGAAAAAATTTGTTGGCGCGAAATTTTATTGTCGCAAAATTTCATTTATAGACCACAAAATTTGGGAAGATCTGATGATTACGAGTCATCCTTTGGTCCCAGCAAGGGCATGCTTTGAACTCTCCCCAACTCAGACGTACCTGGCCGAACATTGAGTGAATGTATTTTCTCGTGTGATTAAAATTTACAGAAAATTTGGAGCTAAAGTCTGGGAGAGAGTTATACGAAAATTTTGTCACTCAAGTTGGCTTCATGGCACGGCTTCATGGCAATACAAAGGCGGCGCCTTTGCATCAATGTGCGGGTAGATTTTTTTTCTCCGGCAGTTTGTGGCCAAGGGTGCCAGAGGATGCAGGGGTGGGTTACACAGAAGCAAATACAATACACAATATTCAGACGACCCTTGTGAATTGCCGAGTGCACAGCGCCGCCAACAAACGTACCAAACCTTCGCTAGAGGCCGACTGATAAGTGCAACTAAATGTGACGAAGTTCTGCACTACCACGTCCATAAGTAAACAACAGGAAAGCAGTAATGCTTCGTGGCATTTTATGACTTTATTGCCATTAAAAGGGGGTATGGTAGGTTAAACTAACAAAAAATCGAATTTGTAGTTTTGACACCAAAAAATTCACTGTACTCTGAGGAACAAACCTGTGGAAGCCTGATCCGCGCTGAAATGCGCCGCGCATTCTCTGGCATAAGCAGTATGCCCACATAAAACTTCGTTTTTCTCGAATGACCTTTTCTGTACATTTTTCAACTTCAATGTACCTTTTCTCAAAAAGTATTGAATCAATTTCGATGAAACTTTGTATGTGTGTGCTATAACACATTAGAAACAATCTGAACTAAAAAAATGCTGATTTAATAAAAAGTGAAGCTGTAAAAGAATGACACAACATAACACAACCTTCGTGGCATTGTGTAAGCAGTATATTTATTTTTTTCAAAAACGTTTTGCAATCTATGAGTCTTTCCAACAACATAACTGAATATCGTTACGTTCCTTTCGGTAGTTGCAAAAAAAAAAGGTACATTGAATAAGTGAACCCCTTTTAAAATTTGAGAGTGGGCCATAGGAAGGATAAAAAAAAAAAAGGCATAAAAAAGGCTGTAACTTGATACCCAGTGGCATTTTTTTGTGAGCACGTCAAATTTTATGGGAATACTTGCAGCTGTTTCTAAGATATTACGTTAAAACTTACATATACCATTTACCCTACCATGCCCCCTTAATCTACGGCTGTGTTAGCTGTGCACCTTCAGACGAAAGCAACTACTGTTTCCTGTGCAGCGGCTGCGGTAAACACAAGTTAGTTTTTTAACCTGTGCACGCTGTACTGGCCGTGCGCGTGACTTAAATTAAGCACTGCGTCTTTGCTATATTTGTTTGCATTGTTACGGCAAGAAATATTGGGTTGATTCGGTGTGTGTTGACTGCGCATGTACTTTCGTAGTCGCCCATGATCGCATTCGACACAATCACATTCGTGTTTGCAGCGATTGCGGCAGAATGCAGTTACGCTGGGAGTAGGTGCACGTTGCTCGCGTGTGCGCCTTCATTATGCGTGCATGTCGTTCACGATCCCACGGCTAGGGAGCACGAGCGGTAGATTTTGAGTGCGATGTCAAAAACATATAGCGGGCGTTCTTGAAGATTGCGATTCTGCCGCGGCCCACACGAACATTAAATCCACCGGCAGCATCATGGTGGATGGGCGAGCTGTTGCTGAGCATCTCAATGGCGATAAATTTAGCGGGATGTGCGTGTAGGGGTAGGAAAGCATGTATCCGATGAAAACGTGGTTGTTGTAATACAGCTGTGCACTCTGAATGCCACGAGCCGTGGAGAAATGGCCGAGCTGGTATCGGAATTTCGCGGCTATCCGAGGCAAGTTCCTTTTTCTTATGAAGTAGTACTCACGAAAACTTCGTTAAAGCGGAAATATCCAGAAAAAGTATTCATTGTGACGAGACATTTTTCACCTTGTTTTTTATGGGCGGCTGACTGGGAATCGAAAATCATTTCTTGTGGTGTAAATTTCGTTGTAGCGGAGTTTGTTATAGCAAGATTCGATTGTATTTACATGAATTATTTAGGATTTTTTTAAAACAGGGGAAAAAGAAAAGTCATTAACAGGTCAAGAATTCAGTGACAAGATTCCCGTATTTGAAGTGTGCGTAAAACATGGTTTGGTGTATAACTCAAGAACGTTGTTGTAACGCCTATGTGAATGTCCTATGCACGCCTAGGTAGAGGGGAAAAAATGCGACTTTTTTGCATTACTGTGTAATGAACATTATCATAGTGAACAACCTTTCAGAACTTGCTTCATGTCACTGTATTTCCTCACCTATGTTTCCTCTGTGCATGTGGGGTCAAGCTCTGCTTTCTAGACACAAATCTTGTGCTGTTGCAAAGTGCTGGTCAGTTTTGTATGTTTCGTGTTGTGTAGGCCTTGAGAAATAATGCTGTCTTTGTGTAGTTGAATGTGGGTGTGTGCTTTGCTTCTCTTGTCTACTCTTTCTCACAAGGCAAAGTTTTTGTATTGTTTACTGTAAAAGCCCGCATATAGCTCGGACCCATATATAGTCTGAGGTGTAATTTGGGGAATAGCAAATGTGAGAAAAAGTTTTCACCTGAATATAGCTTGAGTAAAGTGGAAAAATGCATTCATTAACACACTTCATACATCATCGTTGTCAGACGCACTCTTTTTCGAAGCTCTCTTGTTGGAAATGATCTCCCACAGCACATCATCCTCAGTTTCATCGAGCGCATTATGAGATGGAGCACTTCTTGAACGCGCGCCAAACGAGCCCCTCGGGAATGCAGGCCCAAGCCTGGACAATCCATGAGCACAACATTGCTGGTGAGGCTTGTTTCAGCCGTCCGGCAGGAGTTAATTCTGGTTCTCCGGACCTCATCCACTCCGCATACAGGCACTTGACATAGTCCTTGAATGGCTTATTAAGGCATACATCAAGCGGCTGCAGCTATGATGTCATCCCCGCTCGGTGCGGGAGTCGCACAGCAGTCGCTTAACAGAGTTGGTTAGGCGACACTGGAACCCATCGAGCACAAGCATCGAAGGGAGCCCCAGCAGTGCTCCGGGCTGTGTATACCAAATGGACTTTATACAGCCAAGTACTAGCGATTCGTCCATTGACCCTTTGTTCTGGCAGCAGGCGACATTTTTTGAGAACTTCTTTCCCTTTGACAGCGTCTTTCGTTTGAACACCACGTAGGGTGATAGCTTGCGACTGTCTGCAGTGCAAGACAACATTACAGTCACCTGTGTTTTTTCGTTCCCAGTCGATCACACAATAACTTGCCTGGAGCCTTTCTGATGCACCGTCAGTGTTGAGGGCATATCCAGGTAGACCGGCGTTTGATCCCCGTTGCCGATCTGCCCCAGATCAAAGGGGGCAGCCTTTCGCAATGCCATTACATACTTTTGAAACTTCACAAAGTCCTCTTCGTAGCTCTTTGCTAGCTTCTGTGAGATGGACGTATGCAGACGTAGGGAGAACCCAGCGCGGCACATGAAGAGACACCCAATGCTTGCTCACTTTGAAATACTCCGGCTGAATGCCTTTGTCTCGGGCGATCTTCCTTGCCTTTGCTTGTAGCAGCTCGATGCTAACAGCGAGATTTGCAGCTCGCTGCTCCCGCACAAAGTCTGCGAGTTATCGTTCCACGTCAAGAAACGCTCCATTTTTTGGTCCGCGGAAACTTTTTCACTGGATGCTGCAAGCAAAGGGGGCATCCTGCTTCCGCCAACCACAAATACTCCACTTGTTGACCCCGAACTGCCGCTCTGCGGCACAGTTGCCAATGCTTTCGGCAGCGGCGATAACTTTCCTTTTTAAAAGCAAGCAGTCTGCGTGGCGCTGACATGGCGTAAAATCACAGGAGCAAAATCGTGACTGTCGTTATGGGTGTCAAGCTGAAGCAAAGGTCACTGACCATTGTTGCATGCATAGGTCTGTAAGTGTAACGCCTGCTACCGCCACTAACACTACCTAGCACGTAGTGCAGAAGTGCACAAACACCTGATGATGATGATAGCATTGCACTATGCTGAAACCAAAACTGAACTTAGGCTGAAAATTCTTGGGATTCGCATATAGTACGGGGCCGAAATTTCGTACCCTAATATCTAGGAAAAATCCCCTGGCTATAAGGGGGCTTTTACGGTATTACCAAATCAACATATTGCCAGCTGATTTTGTGTTACTGAGATATGCATAGTTAAAGAGGCTCAAAGAACTTAAAGGGTTAGTGGAGTTAGCATGCACAGATTATCCGGATGCAAATTAAGCTTGGCTTGGTTGAGTCATATGAAATTCCGATATGGCAGGCAACAATCTATGCCCCTGCAATGCCATGTCCATACATTCCTGTGCAAAAATATAGCCACACTTTGAATGACTGATTTACCCGTCATTTTGCCATTGAGCGCACTAGTAGCACAGCAAATGTTTTGTAGGAGATACACTGTGAAGTCTGTATGGTGCATAGTCTGAGCAACAATATGTTGATCCAGGTAAAACTGGTGGGTAAAATTTTAATTATGTGCAACATACTTCAATTGTATAATATATAGCTCGCAGGCACAAGCAGTCTTTTCAACAGTCATCACACGACTATGTGCACAGCTGCAAAGTGGTGCTAATAGTTATGCTCCTTGTTTTTTCAAGTCTCCTGACTTCAAGTATATTGAACAAGGGCTGCTAGATGGAGCTTTAAGGCTGTGTTATAGTGGAACTTTGGGCTGTTACCACTGGCTTCCTCAGTGTTTCTTATCTGGTTTATCTTCTATGTCCTAATGGGCATGCATTTGATGCATCTATTCTAGGGTGGCTCAAACAGTAAGAATTGAATTAGGTTTACTTGATGCCGCTTCAGTTAAGTGATATTTCGTTAGATCAAATTGAGAACTAGTGTACTGCCAGGTCTGTTCTCTTGGTGAAGGGATTTTTTTGACATTAGGGGCAAGAAGCATAGGCCAAACTAAGGAATACTGCTTCAGATGTTGATGTTAAGGACAGGGAGGTAATGGTGGCCATGTCTTCATAGCAGCAAAGCACAAAACACCTGTTAGGGGTTTACGTTGAACAACTCCAGGTGTTAAAAAAAAAAAAAAATCCCGAGTACCCCACTATGGCAGGCCTTGTATATCACACTGTACATTCCAATTCAGTGGAATCAGTCAGCAGCTGTTCAGGGACTATATTTTCTAGCTATAAACTTTAATTTCTCTTGTTTACTTCCTTTTTAGTGGTACAGACTGTGATGGTAATGATGTGAACTGTTGTGTATGAGTTAGTGGTTGGCAGCAGAGAGGTCTTTGCTATGCCTTAGCACCAGTGATCTAACTTGCGAGTACGCGAACTTCTCCTGGAACCCTACTCTGCACGTATAAAGTTGAACCTTCTCTTAGGTGCAGATATCTTACAGCATGCAATGTGTGCCCTAACCTTAAATTATAACATATTTAAGCACTAAATTTCAAACCGGCCAACTGTCCCCAGATTGTCTGGAAAACTCCCAATTTTTCACCTGTCTTCCTGATTGTATGATTAATGGCCATAAATCTTCTGTTAAACTGCATCAACCCAGTTAAAAAAAAAAATCACTAAGACAAGAACTAATGATTACAACAACACAAACTTATTTATATGACACACCAAAAGAAAGGGAATGTCCACCCAGCTCTGAAGGTTTGCTAGCTGCTGCTGTTTTCTTTGGCCAAAAGCATATGCATTTGCGCACACTCCAACTTCTGACACTAGTGGGCACATCGCCTATTTTATGGCCCAATTCTTAGAGGGTAGAAAAACTGGAACACCTTCATGATAAGTGTTTCAGTAGGGGCTCGCTTTGACTGTTCCAAGGCCATAAAAGGGGGGCTGTATGGTGGACAGTTTTGGAGACCGATCACAGGTGTCACCTGAAACAACTTTTTTTCTGTGCCAATCTGACCTGCTGCACCAGGCTGTGCATAAACGTTAATTTCCGTGAGTTGTCGATAGGAAGTGTAAACCACCAAATCTAGCCACATATTATCTTCGGCCGAGCAACACTGAGCATTGGCTATACCAAGGACATGGTTCCATCGATATTCGATGGAGTTTGGTGACATTTTAATGGTTCATAGCTGTTATTGCTGTGGTTTCTCCACAAAAGTGGTGGCACCAACATGAGTAACTGCTAATTATCTAGTAATGCAGTAAAACCTCGATGATTTGTATGAACTGGGAACACGGCATGATCATGCAATTAGCGGTAGTGCACGTTAACAAGTGCAAATGTGCATCTCCTGACATGCCCCATCGCCACCAGAACGTTTTGACGTGCCCCATTGCCACCTGACGTGCCCCATCGCCACCAGTTCCTACCAGAAAGTCTTTTCTTCCTTTTTGCCAGAGTGCGGAAAAGATCATACCGGGTTGGCACTCTCGCACGATTGTTTTGTCGCGCGCAGTGGCGACGCCAAGGAGCATTTCGAAACCATTACAGGGTCCGGAATACGCAGCAACTGAAATAGTGACTGAACGGACACTATCAGTTTTCGTGATACACATGTATGTCTGTCTACCGCGATCTGATACTCAGCGACAACTGACAGTTTTATTGAAACAGAGAGCGGTCGCGTGGGCTCGGATCATCCATCTCCTGGTTAGTTGCGTGCAGCACAGCGTCTATGCTGCCCACACTGTCGCTGCTGGGCGGCTTGCTGAACCATGCCAGAGGATTTGCGGTGTGAATTGCTCGTGCCCACTTCGCTCCACACCGAGCACAGATGAGCAAAGTAGTCTGTCGTCGGGATAACAATCTTCCTCCAAGCGATGTGCCCTGCAATTATCTATACTCCGGTTCACACATCAGGTGCAATGCTGCGAAGGCTAGCGAGACTCCTTGTAGTAGATACATTTGTGTGAAAAATAGTTCTGCGTTTTCACCACCCAGAATATATTTTTGCTTTTGTCTCGGGCAGAGTATGAAATGGGCATGTTTTGTAACACACAACACCCACACAAACACATGCACGGACATGTACACACAGGTGATAAGTGTGGTAAGCTATTAGTACAGAATTTTTGGCAAAAACCATTGAAATTTTTTTTACCCGAAATAATTTTTTTGACGATAATGAGTGACACTAAATAGCTGCTCCAAAACTAACCCACATTGCTCCAAAATACACCTTTTGGAGCTCCTAACCTGCTCTGAAACTCCCCTTTTACTGCACCAAAGCTGCTCCAAAACAGCATTATGTCTGCTCCCTGAGCTGCTCCAAAACACAAGTTCACTTCCACCCTTGTGTGCTCCTCTCCCCTGCCCCCTCCCTTCTCCGTGGTGATGCTCCCAATTTCAGAAGTTTATGTATCTTGGAGCTCTATTGCTGACATATTCAAGGTAGTACGTCTTAACTTTTTTCTCATTATGTATATAATTTTTCTTGAATTCATTGCAGTACTTAGGTGACTAAAATGGTTTTTTTTTTGGAAGTGATTGAGATATGCATTTTTGTATTTCTCTTAACAAATTGCTTTCTCAAGCAATTTTATGGGTGTAAATAATAGTTTATAATAGTTTATTTTTTTTACAGCTCATCTCTGCTGTTGTACACTCTAACTGGGTGCATGTGGTGGAAAACTGTGAGATCAACTGCTGGAAGGAGGCCCTAGCAGCTGTACTTACCTATGCTAAGCCTGAAGACTTTGCAGTACTCTGTGGTGAGCTGTCTTCTTGGGTTTCTTTATTTTCAGAAGCATGGCGAGAGAATAAGTGTTGCACACACACAAAAAAAAAGAATGAGTACAGGTCAAATGCACTTTTACCGTTAGTTCTTGCGTAAGAGCTGGGCCCCTAGATTTGAATGTGGTATTTTAGCAGGGGGGGGGGGGGGATTTTGTGTGTGTCGCACACCTTTTTCATCATAGTGCTGGTGTCTTCTTTTTAGATGTGTCCACAATTGAGAACCTTATGGCAGGAACCTTGTCGACTTACCACTTGTTAGTTCTTAATAGTGTTAGAAGCATTAAGCTTTAGTAGCGTGCATGTGCATCAAGCTTCAATTGTGTGGTTAGAGCTGTGGAGTTATGTAATTCAGAGTGAAATGTCAGTACAGTAGTATCTCATTAAATGGAACCTGAATGGATTCCTAAAATGTGCTCCATTTAATAAGAGTTTCATTTGATGAGAGATGAACAAGGGTGCAGAATACACACAAAACCAATCATACTAGAGGCAGTTATTCGATTTCAGCAACAGTTCGGTTTTTAAGGGATTTAAGTTTACTGAAAGCCTGCTATATTGTTTGCCACTTAAGTTTTATGTTTGGGATGTGCAGTGGTAAGAAACCTGCACCAATCGCACCAACCTGCACCAACTGGAAATTACTGCAGCATACTGCTCCAAAGGGGTCTTTTTTGTCTAATTTGCTCCATTGCTGTGCCGCAAGGTAGTTTTGGAACCAAAAGTAATGTTGACAGCATGCATCGTAAGCAGCTATTACATGAAGGTCGCTATCTTGCCCCTTGTGCTGCTGCAAAAGCACGAAATTGGCTGATCAATTATTCCCACATCTGTGCAATTGCGCTGGTGCCTTTTCTGGTAATCATTAGCAAAGAACGAAAGCAATGTGATGACAACCGAAAAGCGCGCAAGTATAAATTATCGCCAACAAAAAGCCTGCGTGTGTGGCGTAGCGCCGCTTTGAGCCTACTGCACGCTTTTAATAGCCAATGACTACCTGAGAGAGCTGAAGCGCCGATTGCTGCCGCCTCAATCGATGTGCGGGACCGTGCTCAGCGTGCACCACTTTGCAGAAATGAGGGCGACATACTGTTGCAGAGTTAAGCGCTGTCGATCGCGAGGACCGGGACAGTAAGTGTAGCACATGCTTTCATGAGGGGAGCAATGTCTGCCCCCTACAATGACATAATAGCGAGTGGGAGAAGCACTGTGATGAAACTCTGCCCTCCTCCCCTTAAGGAGAACCCTGCACACGCTTATGTACTTGTTTGTTCATGTGTACTAGATTTAGTGCATAGGTAACCCTGTTACCGATAATTTCTTGGAATGTATGTATTAGTATGTATTAAGTTTTATTGTAATGAGCTTTAAAAGTGTGTGTGTATGTGTACTGGTTTGTGTGTGCACTGCTTGAGCTTCATGCTGCTGCTAGATATACCCTTCACAGTTTTGTCACCGCTTCTCTATGTGAGCCTGCTTTCCCTAATATTTTGCACTTATTTTGTGGGCTTGCTGCTTCTGTATAAATAATTATTTAAACTGAGGGAACATTAAACTAAATAAAGCTAAATTTTCTCTGTGTGTGTCATGGAAAGCCCGTGCATGCTCCAAACACAGAGGTAGCTACTACAAAAGTAGTTTTTGCCTGCTCCAATGGCTACTCCAAAATGCTGGAAGACATTTTTACTACTGGACATCTCTATGCTAAAAGCTGGTTCAGTTTGTTCATGTTGCATTTCACATAAGCACACCGTGCAGGCTAAAGCACTTTTCTGGTCTGGGCATCGTTCTCAGAAAGCCTTGGGAGTCGGCTGGAAAACACATCACTGGTGCCTTATGCAATGCTCTGCTATATTTGTGCGGGCAACTTGGAGAAGCTGGCACGCTGCTGGGTGCAGATCCAATGCAAAGCTGAGAGTCCGGAGTCACTTCAAGTAAGTGACCTTGTAAATTGTTTTTAGGAGTTCATGGATTTGTCGTTTTTCTGCTCACTAGTCCATATTGTATATAAATTGTGGGAGCAACTGGCACATTGGTGGCGGCAATGATGTAAACTGTTGTGTGTGAAACAGTGGTTGGTGGTGTAGGCTAAGACTTTTGATCTTTACTATGCCTCACACCAGCCAGCTGTCTATGAGCACGTAATCTTCTCACTGAGCCCTACTGCGTGCATATGAAATTGAACCTTGTCTTTAGAAAAATTGTATCAGTGACTGCTACTGTATCATCATGATTATATGTGTGTATTTTTTATTAAATGTGTGTATTGTTTTATTGGTAATGCTTATATATACAAGAAGCGTAGCTTTTGTTGTACGGTCGATACAGTCACCTGTAAGAGTAATGAAGTGCCTTGAAAATTTTACTGTTTCATAGGTTAATTGTTATAGTCATGTTTTTTGATAAAAAAAAAACAATGGGAGGGGCGGGGACACAGGTCACATTTTCAGGAGACTGCGCGTTGCCACATGTCATGTGAAATTGTTATCGACCTGTGCTACTCGGGTATTCTGCGTGTCTTACCGGGAACAATCGGTGACCACTGCATTAAAAGCTCAGACATATTATCTGCCATAGTTCTTTGTAATAAAAAGAAATATTTTTTCATATGTGCTAACTCTTCGCCTACTACCGGAACTATCATAGCCCTTAGCCTGGTTTTGCCATTGTTTGAGGAATGTGCCAACAAACAGCCTTAAATGAGTTACCTTAAAAAATGTTTATGATGAGATATAGCTATAAAGAAAGAATAACAAGTCAGGTTGATTTATGAAGCAATGGTCTGGATGTTCTTTATCGGATAAATGGCTAAACTATGTTTAGGTTTTGCATAGCTGAACTCTGTTTATTTGTTTTTAGTATCTTGAATTGGACTGGTTGGTACATACTGTTCTTCAATGAAGAAACAGAGCTAGAGCATGATACGGCATAAGCACCAGTCTGTGTTCATGCCATCTTGCTTTCGTCTTGATCTAGCGCTCTGTCTTCATTCAATATGATTATCTGTACATTTGTGCAGATTTCTCTGCGCTGCACAGTTGCTTTTTTTTTTTTCTGGCTGTCTTTGCCAGCCAATGGTGGCCACGTTTTTATTGCAGCAAAGCACAAAAATGCCTGTTATGGGTTTCCATTCAACAACTCTAGGTGTTCAAAATCAATCCAGAGCACCCCACTATGGCGGCCTAGCCTAGCCTCTGCTTTGTCCACGTATCATCTACAAGATAGGTTGCATGGGGCTGCCTATCAGACATGCAAGCTAGATAGCAGCCCCTCTTCCCTGCACCCCTTAACAAGTTCACCTACCCTCTCCCCTGCTGTCTATTGTTACATAGTGGACTGTGGTGGGAGAACATCATTCCTTCACTCATCACCAGTGTAGTCTATATATGGAGGGGCAGAAGGAAGATTTGAGATAGGCGTGTGGTGGCACTGCAGAGAAGGCTGGAAAACTGCCTGCAGCATGGTGCGTGTTGCATGTGTGCAATTGGTGTACAATCCGCGTCAAAGTAAACCCGAATATCAGCAAGTCTTCGTGATGGTATAGTGTGCCGTCCACTTATCATCATGGACAGGCATGCATATATGCGCAGGGCTGCCTAATAGAATGCGTGCGCCTGTCAATGGTGTTAACGGGACGGTGCGCACTATACCGTAAAAACCCGCGTATAGCCCGGGGTTTTTTTCTAAAATTTAGGGTGCGAAATTTCAGCCCCGTACTATATGCGGATCCCAAAAAGTTTTGGCCCGAATTCAGTTTTGGTTTCGGCATTGGTTGGTGTTATCATCATTATCAGGTGTCTGCGCACTTCTACGTTAGGTGGCGTGGTAGCGTGAGCGGCGTTAGTCCTAGAGACCTACAGGTACAGGCGTGCATCAGGCGAGCAACAGTGGCCATTGCAATCACTTGGCGCACATCACGACGGCCACGATTTTACGTGATTTTAAGCCATGTCGGGACCGCGCAGGCAGTACTCGGCTGCCTTTAAGAGGAAAGTCATTTCTGCTGCCGAAACCATCGGCAACTGTGCCGCGGAGCGGCAGTTCGGCGCGAATGAGCGGAGCATTCGCGGTTGGCGGAAGCAGAAAGAAGCCCTTTTTGCATGCTGCGGCAAGAGAAAAAGTTTCCGGGGACCAAAAAATGGAGCATTTCCAGACGTGGAACGAAAACTGACGAACTTTGTTCGGGGCAACAAGCTGCGCAACTCGCTGTGCACATCGAGCTGCTGCAGGCAAAGGCAAGGGAGATCGCTCGAGACACGGAGGATGAGGTGCTGTGAGAGGACATTTCGAACAAGGGAGATTCGGAAGACAGTGTGTCAGACGAAGACGACGACTAATCGTGCGCGCGCATGCGTGCGCATGCAAGTGTTTAAATAAATGCATTTTTTCTGTTTTCCTCGAACAATATTCGCCTGAAAATGTTTTTTTCTCGCGTTTGCTATCCCCGAGTTACACCTCGAACTATACGCGGGTCCGAACTATACGCGGGTTTTTACGGTACTACCGTGAAGGCTTGCTCTTGTTCGGGTTTCATTTGACACAGATAGTACATAGTATCTCACATAGTTTCTTTTTTTCTTCTTTGGCTTTCTGGGTGCTCCTTTTCCGGCTTGTGCATATACTCACCTCTCCAAATTTAATTTTCCTAGCCATTTACTTCACATAGAGGACACTGCAGCATCTGCATGTTAATATAAGTGGGTTCAGCTACATCTAATTATTCATGATAGCTATATTTATCATATTGATGTTTTAGTGTCAGGTTGATCTGCATTTATCATAGTTCTGTGAATAGAGCACTGCTGGACAGGTGGCCTGATTAACATGAAAAAGTGGCAAGGCAATTGCATTTTTTTTTTGGCTACTACAGCAGTCAAAAAGGGCACCATTGCTTGGTCACTGTTGAGAGCCGCACTAGTTCTTTGAAACCCTTATTCTTTGGATCATGTTGCTGTTGTTCAGGTACTTATCACATATTTTTTCATCTCTTGCACCGTTAACCTAAGATGTAGGAAAAGTAACTGGAAGTGACATACTAGTTGACTGAAAATTTGTCATGATGTTTCCAAATGTGATGCCGAATTTGATGTAAAAATTTCCACAATCATGCAGGTGCTTACTGTATTTACTCGCATAATTTGCACACTTTTTTTCGCAATTTTAAGGCTCTGCAAAGGGGGTGCGAAAATTATTTTGGGTACTTAGCAAATGCATACAAAATAATGTGCAATAGTCCTAACGCACGCAGTATAAAATTTTAAAAAGTTATTAACTTACAGCACAAACAAAGTGCACTTGTTTATTTAAAAGAATTAGCGCTACTTAAACCAGTCATATCCAGTCAAGCGCAGTCTTGTCAAAGTCACTAATTGAGCCCGATTGAGGCCAATTGAGAAACATCATCGTGGCCACTGTCACTGCCCTCCCATAGCGCATCGTCCTCAGTTCAGTTCAGTGCGTTCGAATGTCTCATTTTCTTGAAGCTCTTCTTGACAATGCTGGAAGAACACAGTGTTACCGGAGGTCTAAGCGCTCGCATAAACTGAAAAGGCCCTCAACGGGCAGAAAAACTGTATTAGCAAGCGCAGACTCTTCTGCTTTCTCCCGCAGCGATTGCTCCGATCGTCACACGTTAAAGCACATCACGCTGAAGTCTCTGCGGTGCCGCGATTCCAGTTTTCATCGGCAAAGTTTATAATAGCGAGCTTGAATTTCGTCGTATGTATAATTACTGTAGCTCATTGCAAGAGAACAGTAAAAACGCGGTGGACAGATGGCGAAACCTAAACTTCCAAAATCAACCAAGCGTGCGTTGCAGTGCGGACACAGACAGAAGAGGAACAGTTGGCGCGACAGGCCCTCGCAAGCCTCTGGTGCCGAAAGTTATCAGTGCCATGACGCGAGCGGAGCATGCCATGGTGGGCAGAGATGGAGAGATAGAAGCGGGAAAACCATGGAGGAAAGAATTGGGAAAACGCTCAAGCGGTTCAGACTACCCGTCAACGTAGACCCGTCAATAGATTAGAGTGTTTGGGTGCGGTATTCTAGTAACTCTAGTTCGGGCGAAGTCCTCGGAAGAAGGGACTTCACATTCGCAGCCCGTTTAATTGCACTCGCTTGATCACCAGGGCGCGTGCTCAGCCCGCCTGTGCAAAGAATCTGAAGGTTCAAAGTCCGTGCGCCAGCGAGCTGGCTTGGGTGGGTCGGGGAGCGCAAAATATGCGAGTAAATACGACAGTCACAATTCTTTTTTTTAAATTAACTAGTCAGTGACAACTAAACTTTACCAATATGCGTGCACCAACTGCTGATGAAGTGCGGTTGGTCGTATTTTGTTTGGTCTCTATATTTTGTGCCTTCTTGAAATTAGGTCGATCCAACTTGTTGATCAAGACTGCTGCCCTCAGTAAAGTCACTGAAAGGAGATAAGTACAGCAACTGTTCATCTGTTGCTTTATTTGGTCCAGTGTGGTCGAAGCTGCAGCAGCACACTTTTATTTTGCATAGATTGTGTAATGAGCGTTTTACGAATTTCGTGCACTTTTACAGTTCTGTATGAGGCATACCGCTGTTTTCTAAACGATTAGTCAAGAAATAGTGCCAGTTTTTTTATTCCTACGCATGCAGCCTACCTTAAAGTCAAACATGGTATAGATGCGCATGATGCAACTAATTAAGATTCTGACGTAGATTAGAGTGCTCTGAAAACAAAATGTGAACAACCTACCCAAGTGCTGCGCTGTTCACATTTATTTTGGCCGCCTCAGTACATGCTGGAATACATGATGTACCAGTGAACGAAAATATTAAACTACATGCTGCCATACAACAGATGCACAGTGACCCATCTGAGATTTATTTTACACCAATATTGCGCAGGCATGCTGATGCTTTTGAATCCGTTATACAGCTTTTTTTTTATAATTTTTTGAAG